GGGATGGGTGGGGGAGGGGACGGGTCCCAAACCCAAAACCCAACTTCCGGGGTCACGTCTTGACCTTGCGGCCCCTCCCCCCCGCCCCTCCCCCATCCGCGCAGCGCCGCGGGGGTTGGGTCCTGCGGGGGGGCTCCGCGCGGCGCCGCTTGGGTGGGGGTGGGGGCTGAGAGGGTGGTGGGGGAGGGGCAACACCACCGCTTCCCCCCTCCCCCTCCCCCCGCTTCCGGTGCCGCCTCCCGGGTTCCCTCTCGAGGGGGGCCAAGAGCGGGGCCGAGGGGTGGCGGCGGGTGCTGCGCGGTGGGGGAGGGGCGGTGGGGGTGGTGGTGGGGGAGGGGCTTGGAGGAGGGGGAGGGGGGGAGGGGCTGGGGGAAGGCGGGGACCGCTTGGGGGGGCGGCCGCGACGGCGCTTTTGGGGGGGGAAGGGCGATGGGGAGGGACCGGAAGTGACGGGACCGGAAGTGGTTCGGGAAGGGCGGCCGCGGCGACGGCGGTGACGTCGTGGGCGGCGCTGATTGGTCGGGTTGGGGTCGGCGGGGTGGGCGGGGCCAGGGTGACGTCGTCGCCGGGAGGCCACGCCCCTCCGCTTAGGGGGCCGCCCCCGGCGGCGCTTGGGGGGGAGGGGAGGGGAGGGGGAGGGGTCAAGGGAAGGGGCGGGGCGACGGCGACGACGGCGCGGGGTGGGGGAGGGGGAGGAAGGGGAATGGCGGGAAAGGGGCGGAAGGGGCGGGGCTTCGAGGACGGTAACGAGGCGGCCCGGAAGTTGCCTCAGGACCTTGGCGGCGGGGCCGGGCCCGCGGCTCTGACGTATTTCGACGTCAGCGCTGCGTCGGCGGCGGGGGGCGGGGCGAGGGGGTGACGTCACAGGGGGAGGGGAAGGAGGAGGAGGAGGAGGAGGGGGGGGAGGGGAAGGAGGTGGGGGAGGAGCATCCGGTAACGGCGGTGCCGGTGGGGGAGGGGAAGGAGGAGGCGGTGCGGGGGGAGGGGAAGGGGGTGGGGGGGAGGGCGGTGACGTCACTTCCGCCTCGGCGGGAGGTGGGGGAGGGGGAGGTGGTGGGGAAGGGGGCGGGGGAGGGGTGGGGGGCGGTGACGTCACCGCGGGCGTTTCCCCGTCGGGGGCGGGGGGGGGCGGGGCGTGGCCGGGCGTGGCCGGCGGTGACGTCATCGGGGCGCGCGCCCCGCGCAGGCGCAGACTGGCGCGGGTGCGCTCGGCCCCCGGGGGAGGGGGAGGGGGGAGGGAAGGGGGGGGAGGGGGAAGGGAAGGGGGAGGGGCCCGAGGTTTGCGGGGCTTCCGGGTCACGCCCCCTCCGTCGTCGGCCACGCCCCCGCTGCTGGCTCCGCCCACTTCCGCCTTTGGCCCCTCCTCTTCCTCCTCTTCCTCTTCGTCTTGGGGGGGCAACCGGAAGCGGCCCCCAACGCCCTTGGCCTGGTCGATGTCCTTCCGGGCCGCCTCCACTTGTTCCTATGGGGCGGGGAACACGGATGTGGGGCTGGACCCATAGGGAGAACCCCCCCTAAGGGTGGGGCCTGCCCCATAGATGAGAGACGGCCCCATAGATGAGACACATATGGGTGTCCCTGCCCCATAGATGAGAGCCCGACCCATAGAGAGACACATACGGGAGTCCCTGCCCCATAGATGAGAGCCTGACCCATAGAGGAGCCCATAGAGAGACACATATGGGAGCCTCTGCCCCATAGATGAGAGCCTGACCCATAGAGAGACACATATGGGAGTCCCTGCCCCACAGATGGGAGCCTGACCCATAGAGGGGCCCATAGAGAGACACATATGGGAGTCTCTGCCCCATAGATGAGAGCCTGACCCATAGAAAGACACATATGGGAGTCCTTGCCCCATAGATGAGAGCCTGACCCATAGAGGAGCCCATAGAGAGACACATATGGGAGTCCCTGCCCCATAGATGAGAGCCTGACCCATAGAGATACACATATGGGAGTCCCTGCCCCATAGATGAGAGCCTGACCCATAGAGAGACACATATGGGAGTCCCTGCCCCATAGATGAGAGCCTGACCCATAGAGAGACACATATGGGAGTCCCTGCCCCATAGATGAGAGCCTGAGCCATAGAGAGACACATATGGGAGTCCCTGCCCCATAGATGAGAGCCTGACCCATAGAGATACACATATAGGAGTCCCTGCCCCATAGATGAGAGCCTGACCCATAGAGAGACACATATGGGAGTCCCTGCCCCACAGATGAGAGCCTGACCCATGGAGAGACACATATGGGAGTCCCTGCCCCATAGATGAGAGCCGGCCCCATAGAGGAACCCACAGAGAGACACATATGGGAGTCCCTGCCCCATAGATGAGAGCCGGCCCCATAGAGAGACACATATGGGAGTCCCTGCCCCATAGATGAGAGCCTGACCCATAGAGAGACACATATGGGAGTCCCTGCCCCATAGATGAGAGCCTGACCCATAGAGAGACACATATGGGAGTCCCTGCCCCATAGATGAGAGCCGGCCCCATAGAGAGACACATATGGGTGTCCCTGCCCCATAGATGAGAGCCTGACCCATAGAGATACACATATGGGAGTCCCTGCCCCATAGATGAGAGCCTGACCCATGGAGAAACACATATGGGTGTCCCTGCCCCATAGATGAGAGCCGGCCCCATAGAGGAACCCACAGAGAGACACATATGGGAGTCCCTGCCCCATAGATGAGAGCCTGACCCATAGAGAGACACATATGGGTGTCCCTGCCCCATAGATGAGAGCCTGACCCATAGAGAGACACATATGGGTGTCCCTGCCCCATAGATGAGAGCCTGACCCATAGAGAGACACATATGGGAGTCCCTGCCCCATAGATGAGAGCCTGACCCATAGAGAGACACATATGGGAGTCCCTGCCCCATAGATGAGAGCCTGACCCATAGAGAGACACATATGGGAGTCCCTGCCCCATAGATGAGAGCCTGACCCATAGAGAGACACATATGGGAGTCCCTGCCCCATAGATGAGAGCCTGACCCATAGAGATACACATATAGGAGTCCCTGCCCCATAGATGAGAGCCTGACCCATAGAGATACACATAATGGGAGTCCCTGCCCCATAGATGAGAGCCTGACCCATAGAGAGACACATGGGAGTCCCTGCCCCATAGATGGGAGCCTGCCCCATAGAGGGGCCCATAGAGAAGACCTGGCAACATAGAGGAACCCGTAGAGAGACACATATGGGAGTCCCTGCCCCATTGATGAGAGCCTGCCCCATAGAGGGACCCTAGGCCCCATAGAGAGACCCCTAAGGGTGGGGCCTGCCCCATAGAGAGACACAAAGGGGAAGCCCTGACCCATAGAGGGCCCCATAGAGGAGACCAGGACCCATAGCGGGGGCCACAGGGGAGACTGGCGCCATAGAGAGACCCATAGAGGGGGGCCTGCCCCATAGAAGGGCCCATAGGTGAGACCTGGCCCTATAGAAAGACCCATAGGGGAGACTCTGCCCCATAGATGAGACACTGCCCCATAGAGGGGCCCATAGGGGGAGACCCTGCCCCACAAACAGACCCCTACGGTTGCCCCTGCCCCATAGCAAACCCTATGGATCCAGCCCCATAGAAGCATCCCTATGGGTGCCCCAACCCCACAACAGCCCCTATTGGTCCAGCCCCATCGCAAGCCCCCTATTGGCTCCCCAAACCCCCTACACCCTATGCCTCCAGCCCCATAGCAAGGCCCCCTATGGCCTCCCCCGCCCCATAGCAGCCCCTCTGGGTCCAGCCCCACACCTCGGCCTGCTTGAGCTCCTCGCGGCTCACGTCCTCCAGGGAGGCCTCCAGGAAGTTCATGGCGTAGCGCTCGATGGGGGTCAGCTGCCAAGGGGGGCAGTGGGGGGTCACGCTATGGGGCACAGCCCCATAAGCAGGCCCCCGCCAGCCCCATGGAGCCCCATCGATCCCCATTGACTCCCATTGATCCCCCATTGACTCCCATTGACCCCCATTGACTCCCATTGACCCCCATTGGCACCCATTGACCCCCATTGACTCCCATTGACCCCCATTGGCACCCATTGACTCCCATTGACCCTCATTGACTCCCATTGACTTTCATTGACTCCCATTGACCCCCATTGGCACCCATTGACTCCCATTGACCCCCATTGACTCCCATTGACCCCCATTGACTCCCACTGACCCCCATTGGCACCCATTGACCCCCATTGACCCCCATTGGCACCCATTGACTCCCATTGATCCCCATTGACTCCCATTGACCCCCATTGACTTCCATTGACTCCCATTGACCCCCATTGACTTCCATTGACCCCCATTGATCCCTCATTGCCACCCATTGACCCCCTTGATCCTCATTGACTCCCATTGGCCCCATTGACTCCCATTGACTTCCATTGACCTTAATTGACCCCCATTGACTCCCATTCACTTCCATTGGCCCCACTGACTCCCATTGACCCCCATTGACCGCCATTGACCCCCATTGACTCCCATTGACCCCCATTGACTCCCATTATTCCCCATTGACCCCCATTGGCTCCCATTGACCCCCACTGACCCTGTTGACTTCCATTAACCACCATTGACCCCCATTGACCCCCCATTGACTCCCATTGACCCCCATTGACTCCCATTGACCCCCATTGCCACCCATTGACCCCTTGATCCTCATTGACTCCCATTGACCCCATTGACTCCCATTGACCCCATTGACACCCACTGACTTCCACTGACCCCCACTGACCTTCATTGACCGCCACTGATTTCCATTGACTCCCATTGACTTCCATTGACCCCCATTGACTCCCATTGACCCCCATTGACTCCCATTGCCCCCCACTGCCCCCTTACCTGCCCCACGAGGGCCGCGATCTCCTGCTCGGCCTTGGAGAGCTCCTCCTCCGGGCTCAGGCTCTCGCTGAACTCGGCCATGGCCGCCACGCGCTCGGCCCGGGCCTGCGACGCCGCCCGGATGTCCTCGGGGTCCTCTGCCCCACACAGGGCCTGGGGGGGGGCAATGGGGCTCAATGGGGGGCAATGGGGTCAATGGGGCTCTATGGGATCAGTGGGGGGCAATGGGGGTCACTGGGGTGTAATGGGGTCAATGGGGCTCTATGGGGGTCCATGGGGGGCAAGGGGAGTCAAAGGGGATCTATGGGCTCAATTGGGGGCAATGCAGTCATTGGGGCTCTATGGGGTCAGTGGGGGGCAAAGGGGGTCACTGGGGGCAATGGGGCTCTATGGGGGTCAATGGGGGGCAAGGGGAGTCAATGGGGATCTATGGGCTCAATTGGGGGCAATGCGGTTATTGGGGCTCTATGGGGTCAGTGGGGGGCAATGGGGGTCAGTGGCGTGCAATGGGGTCAATGGGGCTCTATGGGGGTCAATGGGGTGCAATGGGGGGCAACTCGAGTCAATGGGGCTCTATGGGGTCAATGGGGGGCAACGGGAGTCAATGGGAGTCAATGGCGCTCTATGGGGTCAATGGAGGGCAATGGGGGACAATGCGGTTAATGGGGCTCTGTGGGGTGCAATGGGGCTCAGTGGGGCTCTGAGGTCTATGAGGGTCAATGGGGCTCTATGTGGTGCAACGGGGGTCAATGGGCCTCCATGGGGTCAATGGGGGTCAATGGGGTGCAATGGGGTCAATGGGGGTCAATGGGGCTCTATGTGGTGCAATGGGGGTCAATGGGGTCCACACGATCAATGGGGCTCCATGGAGTCAACAGGGCTCCATGGGGGTCAATGGGGCTCCATGGGGGTCAGTGGGGTGCAATGGGGTTCTATGGGGTCAATGGGGCTCTATGGGGGTCAATGGGGTCCACACGATCAATGGGGCTCAATGGAGGTCAATGGGGCTCCATAGGGGTCAACGGGGCTCAATGGAGGTCACTGGGACTCCATGGGGTCAATGGGGCTCTATGGGGTCAATGGGGCTCCATGGGGGTCAATGGGAATCTATGGACTAAATGAGGCTCCATGGGGGTCAACGGGGCTCAATGGAGGTCAATGGGCCACCATGGGGGTCAATGGGGCTCCATGGGGGTCAATGGGCCTCCATGGGGTTAATGGGGCTCTATGGGGTCAATGGGGCTCCATGGGGTCAATGGGGCTCTATGTGGTGCAATGGGGGTCAATGGGGTCCACGCGATCAATGGGGCTCCATGGAGTCAACGGGGCTCAATGGAGGTCAATGGGCCTCCATGGGGGTCAATGGAGGTCAATGGGGCTCCATGGAGTCAACGGGGCTCAATGAAGGTCAATGGGGCTCCATGGGGGTCAATGGGGCTCCATGGGGGTCAATGGGGCTCAATGGAGATCAATGGGCCTCCATGGGGTCAATGGGGCTCTATGGGGTCAACGGAGCTCAATAGAGGTCAATGGGGTTCTATGGACTCCATGGGGCTCAATGGAGGTCAACGGGGCTCCATGGGGGTATCTATGGGGCGCCGCCTCCCCACCTGCTCCAGGATGTGGGTCCGGCGCGTGGCCGCCGGGTCCTCGTCCTCCTCGGGACCCCCATCCCCATCGCGCTCCTTGTCCCGGCCCGGCTCCTCTGGGGCCATGTCAAAGAGCTCCCGGATGGTTTGCTATGGGGCAGAGAGGGGAGGTTGGGGGTCAGGAGTAAGGGGGGGACACAATGGGACCCCCCCCATGGATGTGGATCCATAGGGATGCTCTGGGATGCAGCTTGGGGATCATTTGGGTACCAGGATGCTCCAAGGACCCATAGGGATGCGGGACCATTGGGACCCCCTTGGGTACCACTTGGGTACCGGGATGCTCTGGATCCCTACGGACCAATAGGGATGCAGCTCCATGGCAACCCCTGGGTACCGGGATGCTCTGGATCCGTATGGACCAATAGGGATGCAGCTCCATGGCAACCCTTGGGTACCAGGATGCTCCGTATCCCTATGGACCAATAGGGATGCAGCTCCATGGCAACCCTTGGGTACCACCTGGGTACCAGGATGCTCTGGATCCCTACGGACCAATAGGGATGCAGGTCCCATGGGATGCTGTGGTACCTGTTTGAAGTAGGCCGTGGTGAAGTTGCCCCCCTCGATGGCCATGTCCCCCAACATCCGTTTCTGATTGGCCTTCTTCAGGATGTTCTCCTCCACCGTGCGCTCGCTGATGAGCCTGGGGGGCAGCCGACCCATAGGGCCCCATAGCTCCCCATTGACTCATAGATCCCAAAGGACCCAGAGCTCCCCATTGATCTATAGGTCCCCATCGACCAAAAGGACCCCACTGACCCATAGAAACCCATGGAGCCATAGCTCCCCATAGGCCCACAGCGACCCATTGACCCATAGCTCCCCAGTGACCCATAGAAACCCATGGAGCCATAGCTCCCTATAGCCCCACAGCGACCCATAGCTCCCCCATAGACCCACAGCTCCCCATCGACCCATAGCTCCCCAATGACACATAGCCTCCCATGAAATCACAGCTCCCCATAGCCGCCTCATTGACCATAGCTCCCCATGGACCCATAGGTCCCCATAGCCCCACAGCTCCCCATAGCCCCATAGCTCCCCCATAGCCCCCATAGTCCCCCCATAGCCGCACAGCTCCCCCATAGGATCCCAAAGTCCCAGAGCTTTCCCATAGCGCCATAGCTCCCCATAGCTCCCCATAGACTCCCATTGACCTGTAACTCCCCACAGCAAAATATCTCCCCATACTGCCCCATAGGCCCCATACCCCCATATTTCCCCATAGCTCCCCATACCTCCCCCATACCCCTATAGCTCCCATAGGCCCACAGCCCCTTAGGTCCCCATGGCCATTAAGAACCCATAGCTCCCCATAGCCTCATAGCTCCCCCATACTCCCCATAACCCATTACCCCCATACCCCCCACACCCCTCATAGCCCCACACCCCCCATACCCCAATACCCCCACACCCCCCATACCCCCAATACCCCAATATCCCCCACACCCCCAAAACCCCCACACCCCCCATAGCCCCATACCCTCCCATAGCTCCCATAGCCCCATAGTTTCCCATAGCCATTAAGTACCCATAGCTCCCCATAACCCACATATCCCCCCCCACCCCCCATACCCCCCCCACCCTGACACGCCCCACACCCCCCATACCCCCACACCCCCCATAACCCAATACCCCCAAACCCCCACATGCCCCATACCCCCCATAGCCCCATAACCCCATACCCTCCCATAGCTCCCATAGCCCCATACCTCCCCATGGCCATTAAGGACCCATAGCTCCCCATACCCCCCATAGCCCCACACCTCCCACACCCCCAATACCCCCACCCCCCCCATATCCCCCATAACCCAATACCTCCACACCCCCCACACCCCCCATAACCCAATACCCCCATACCCCCATAACCCAATAACCCCCACACCCCCCATAACCCCCAATACCCCCACACCCCCCATATGCCCCATATCCCCCATATCCCAATACCCCCCCACACCCCCCATACCCCCAATACCCCCACACCCCCCATAACCCAATACCCCCACACCCCCCACATCCCCCATTACCCCCACACCCCCCATACCCCCCCACACCCCCCATACCCCAACACCCTCCACACCCCCTATAACCCCCCCCACACCCCCCATACCCCCCCACACGCCCCATACCCCCCACACCCCCCATAACCCAATACCCCCATACCCCCATAACCCCCCACACCCCCCATATCCCCCATAACCCAATACCCCCACACCCCCCATAACCCCCACACCCCCCATACCCCCCATAACCCAATACCCCCACACCCCCCATACCTCCATACCCCCACACCACCCATACCCCCCCACACCCCCCATTACCCCCAAACCCCCATATTCCCCATAACCCCATACCCCCCACATCCCCCATACCCCCAATACCCCCACACCCCCCATACCCCCCATAACCCCCACACCCCCTAAACCCCCCATAACCCAATACCCCCACACCCCCCATAACCCAATACCCCCACACCCCCCATACCCCCCCACACGCCCCATACCCCCCACACCCCCCATATCCCCCATAACCCAATACCCCCATACCCCCATAACCCCCCATACCCCCCATATCCCCCATAACCCAATACCCCCATACCCCCCATAACCCCCATTACCCCCACACCCCCCATATTCCCCATAACCCAATACCCCCACACCCCCCATACCCCCCCACACGCCCCATACCCCCCACACCCCCCATAACCCAATACCCCCATACCCCCATAACCCCCCACACCCCCCATATCCCCCATAACCCAATACCCCCACACCCCCCATAACCCCCACACCCCCCATACCCCCCATACCCCCCCATATCACCCCCACACCCCCCATACCCCCCACACCCCCCATACCCCCCACCCTCCCCATCACCCCCCATCACCCATCCCCACCTATAGATATGCACGTCCCTGGTCTGGCCGATGCGATGGCACCGATCCTGCGCCTGCGCGTCCATGGTCGGGTTCCAATCGCTGTCGTAGAAGACCACGGTGTCCGCCCCGGCCAGGTTCACCCCCACGCCTCCGCTCCGCGTCGAAAGGATGAAGCAGAAGATGCGCCGGTCCGCGTTGAAGCGTTCCATCAGGGCCTTGGGTGGGGGAGGGGAGAGGGGGGAGGGGAGAGGGGGGAGGGCACTGGTGGCATGAGGCTCCCCAATGGGATCTTAAGGGGGGAGCATGTGGGGGTAAGGATGGTTCTTAGGGGGCAATTGGGGAGCAGGATGCTCTAGGATGCTCCTTGGGTACCATTTGGGGACCAGGATGCTCCTTGGGTACCATTTGGGGAGCAGGATGCTCTAGGATGCTCCTTGGGTACCATTTGGGGACCATTTGGGTACCATTTGGGGAGCAGGATGCTCCTTGGGTACCATTTGGGGAGCAGGATGCTCCTTGGGGACCAACTGGGGAGCAGGATGCTTCTTGGGGGCCAATTAGGGGTAAGGATGCTCCTTGGGTACCATTTGGGGAGCAGGATGCTCCTTGGGGACAAGGATGCTCTTTGGGTACCATTTGGGGACCATTTGGGGAGCAGGATGCTCCTTGGGTACCAATTGGGGAGCAGGATGCTCCTTGGGGACAAGGATGCTCTTTGGGTACCATTTGGGTACCATTTGGGGACCAGGATGCTCCTTGGGTACCAATTGGGGGCAAGGATGCTCCTTGGGTACCAATTGGGGAGCAGGATGCTCTTTGGGGATCAATTGGGGAGCAGGATGTTCCTTGGGTACCAATCGGGGGCAAGGATGCTCCTTGGGGGCCAATTGAGGAGCAGGATGCTTCTTGGGGAACAATTGAGGAGCAGGATGCTTCTTGGGTACCAACCGGGGAGCAGGATGCTCCTTGGGGACAAGGATGCTCTTTGGGTACCATTTGGGTACCATTTGGGGACCAGGATGCTCCTTGGGTACCAATTGGGGAGCAGGATGCTCTAGGATGCTCCTTGGGTACAATTTGGGGACCATTTGGGTACCATCTGGGGACCAGGATGCTCCTTGGGTACCAATTGGGGAGCAGGATGCTCTAGGATGCTCCTTGGGGACCAATTGGGGAGCAGGATGCTCTAGGATGCTCCTTGGGTACCATTTGGGTACCATTTGGGGACCAGGATGCTCCTTGGGTACCAATTGGGGAGCAGGATGCTCTAGGATGCTCCTTGGGTACCAATTGGGGAGCAGGATGCTCTAGGATGCTCCTTGGGTACCATTTGGGGAGCAGGATGCTTCTTGGGGATCAATTGGGGAGCAGGATGCTCTAGGATGCTCCTTGGGCACCAATTGGGGAGCAGGATGCTCTAGGATGCTCCTTGGGTACCATTTGGGTACCATTTGGGGACCAGGATGCTCCTTGGGGGCCAATTGGGGAGCAGGATGCTCCTTCGGGGCCAATTAGGGAGCAGGATGCTCCTTGGGTACCATTTGGGGAGCAGGATGCTCCTTCGGGGCCAATTAGGGGCAAGGATGCTCCTTGGGGACCAACTGGGGAGCAGGATGCTCCTTGGGTACCAATTGGGGAGCAGGATGCTCTAGGATGCTCCTTGGGTACCAATTGGGGAGCAGGATGCTCCTTGGGTACCATTTGGGGAGCAGGATGCTCCTTCGGGGCCAATCAGGGGCAAGGATGCTCCTTGGGTACCATTTGGGGAGCAGGATGCTCCTTCGGGGCCAATCAGGGGCAAGGATGCTCCTTGGGGACCATTTGGGGAGCAGGATGCTTCTTGGGTACCAATTGGGGAGCAGGATGCTCCTTGGGGATCAACTGGGGAGCAGGATGCTCCTTGGGGACGAACTGGGGAGCAGGATGCTCTAGGATGCTCCTTGAGTACCAACTGGGGAGCAGGATGCTCCTTGGGGGCCAATTAGGGGTAAGGATGCTCCTTGGGGATCAACTGGGGAGCAGGATGCTCCTTGGGGACAAGGATGCTCTTTGGGTACCATTTGGGTACCAATTGGGGAGCAGGATGCTCCTTGGGGACCAACTGGGGACCAGGATGCTCCTTGGGTACCACTTGGGTACCATTTGGGTACCAGGATGCTCCAGGATGCTCCTTGGGTACCAGGATGCTCTGGATCCCTATGGCCCCATTGGGATGCATCCCAATGGGGATGCTTGGGTACCACTTGGGTACCAGGATGCTCTGGATCCCTCTAGACCAATAGGGATGCAGCTTCATGGCAACCCCTGGGTACTACCTGGGTACCGGGATGCTCCGGATCCCTCTGGCCCCATATGGATGCATCTCAATGGGGACGCTTGGGTACCAGGATGCTCCGGATCCCTCTGGCCCCATAGGGATGCATCCCAATGGGGATGCTTGGGTACCACTTGGGTACCAGGATGCTCTGGATCCCTATGGACCAATAGGGATGCAGCTCCATGGCAACCCCTGGGTACCACTTGGGTACCAAGATGCTCCAGATCCCTCTGGCCCCACAGGGATGCAGCTCCATGGCAACCCCTGGGTACCAGGATGCCCTGGATCCCTCGAGGATGCTTTCCCATTGCCGTGATGCTGCCGCTCGCCCCCTTTACCCCCCCCCACCACGCTATGGGGCGCCCCCCAAGTGGTACCTGGCGCTGCTCGACGCGGGTGCTGCCGTCCAGGCGCAGGTAGATGTGGCCGTGGTAGGTGAGGAAGCGCTCGAGGACGTCGAGCATCCTCGTCATCTGCGTGAAGATGAGCACCCGGTGGGCGCCCGCCTTGAGGCGCCGCAGCAGCACGTCCAGGGTCTGCAGCTTGCCTGCAGGGAAAGGGGGAGATATAGGGGTCAGTGTGGGGCGGTGGTGGGGGGGAGCAGTGGGGCAGAAGGGGGGGAGCAATGGGGGATCAACGGGGTAGCAATGGGGGATCAAAGTGGGATCAATGAAGGTAGCAATGAGAGATCAATGGGGCATCATTAAAGCATTGTCAAGAGCATCACCCCATTGAACCCCATTACCCCCATTACCCCATTACCCCATTGACCCCCATCACCCCCCTTACCGCCACTACCCCATTGACACCCATTACCCCATTGACCCCCATCACCCCACTGAACCCCATTACCCCATTGACCCCCATTACCCCCATCAACCCCCCTTACCCCATTGACCCCCCTTACCCCATTGACCCCCATTACCCCATCACCCCCATTACTCCATCACCCCATATACCCCATCACCCCACTGACCCCCATCACCCCACTGACCCCCATCACCCCATTACCCTCATCACCCCATTGACCCCCATCACCTCCACTACCCCATAACTCTATTGACCCCCATCACCCCCATTACCCCATCACCCCCATATACCCCATCACCCCACTAACCCCCATTACCCCATTGACCCCCATCACCCCATTGACCCCCATCGCCCTACTGACCCCCATCACCCCATTACCCCCAAAACCCCATCACCCCACTGACCCCCATCACCCCATTACTCCCATTACCCCATTGACCCCCATCACCCCATTGACCCCCATCACCCCCATTACCCCATCACCCCCATTGACCCCCATCACCCCATTGACCCCCATTACCCCACTGAACCCCATCACCCCATTACCCCCAAAACCCCATCACCCCACTGACCCCCATCACCCCATTACTCCCATTACCCCATTGACCCCCATCACCCCATTGACCCCCATCACCCCCATCACCCCACTGATCCCCATCACCCCATTACCCCCATCACCCCATTGACCCCCATCACCCCCACTACCCCCTCACTCCCCTTACCCCCCATCACCACATTGACCCCCATTACCCCATTACCCCATTGACCCCCATCACCCCATTGACCCCTATTACCCCATTGACCCCAATCACCCCCATTACCCCACTGACCCCCATCACCCCATTGACCCCCATCACCCCCCTTACCCCCATTACCCCATTGACCCCCATCACCCCATTGCCCCCCATCACCCCATCGCCCCCCATCCCCCCCCACCCCCCCTTACCACAATCATACTGCACCAGCCTCCGATCAGGGAAATGTGTGCCCCACGGCCTCAGCAACCGATGCAAGGTCTCCCTATGCTGACGAGCATCCCCATACCCCCCATCCCTCCCCCCCGCCGCCCCCCCTGCCCCATAGGACGTCTCCCTATGGGAAGCTGATGGGACGTCCCCCGCCGCCGCTGCCCCCCCCACGCCGTCGTTGCTGTTGTTGCCGTGGGGATGCAGTGATGGGGTGGTGGTGATGGTGGTGGTGGTGGTGGTGGTGGGGGGGGGGTCCCCCCCGTTTAGGGCCAGCTCCTGGCACAGCCGCTGCTCCAGCAGCGCCCATTGGCGCAGCCGCCATGGCGGGGGGCGGGCGCTGTGCAGGGACAGGCCCCGAGCTTGCACTGGGGGCAGCACGAAGATGAACCTGGAAGGGGGGGGGATATGTTGGGAAAACACCCCCCAATAAAGGGAATGGAGCCAGCTGGACCCATTGGGACACATTGGGAGCCACTGGACCCATTGGGAGCCATTGAGACCCATTGGGAGCCATTGGGACCCATTGGACCCATTGGGAGCCATTGGGACCCACTGAAACCCATTGGGATCCATTGGACCCATTGGGAGCCACTGGGACCCACTGAAACCCATTGGGAGCCATTGGGACCCATTGAAACCCATTGGACCCATTGGGAGCCATTGAAACCCATTGGGACCCATTGAAACCCATTGGGACCCTTGAAACCCATTGGGACCCATCTGAACCCATTGGACCCATTGGGACCCATTGGGAGCCATTGGGACCCATTGGGAGCCATTGAAACCCATTGGGAGCCATTGGGACCCATTGGGACACATTGAAACCCATTGGGACCCACTGAAACCCATTGGACCCATTGAAACCCATTGGGACCCATTGAAACCCATTGGGACCATTGGGAGTCATTGGGAGCCATTGAAACCCATTGGACCCATTGGACCCATCCAAACCCATTGGGACCCATTGAAACCCAATGGACCCATTGGGACCCATCCAAACCCATTGGACCCATTCAAACCCACTGAAGACCCATCCAAACCCATTGGACCCATTGAAACCCATTGAGACCCACTGGGACCCATCCGAACCCATTGGACCCATTGACACCCATCCGAACCCATTGGACCCATCCAAACCCACTGGACCCATTGGGACCCATCCAAACCCATTGGGACCCATCCAAACCCATTGGGACCCATTGAAACCCATTGGGACCCATTCAGACCCATTAGGACCCATTGAAACCCACTGGGACCCATCCAAACCCACTAGGACCCATTCATACCTATTGGACCATCCCAAACCCACTGGGACCCCCCGAAACCCATTGGATCCCCCCCCAAAACCCCACTGGACCTATTGGGATGCTCCCAACCCCATTGGACCCTCCCAACCCCATTGGGACCCCCTAAACCCATTGGATCCCCCCCAAAACCCCACTGGACCCATTGGGATGCTCCCAACCCCATTGGACTCCCCCCAACACCATTGGGACCCCCCTAAACCCACTGGACCCCCCCCAACCCCATTGGGACCCCCTAAAACCATTGGACCCCCCCCTCAACCCCATTGCCCCCCACCCATTGGACCCCCTCAACCCCATTGCCCCCCACCCATTGGACCCCCCCAACCCCATTGCCCCCCCCACCCATTGGACCCCCTCAACCCCATTGCCCCCCCACCCATCGGACACCCCCCCCAACCCCATTGCCCCCCACCCATTGGACCCCCCCTCAACCCCATTGCCCCCCCCACCCATTGGACCCCCCCCAACCCCATTGCCCCCCACCCATTGGACCCCCCTCAACCCCATTGCCCCCCCCATCCATTGGACCCCCCCAACCCCATTGGGATCCCCTAAACCCACTGGACCCCCCCTCAACCCCATTGCCCCCAACCCATCGGACCCCCCCCTCAACCCCATTGCCCCCCACCCATTGGACCCACCCCTCAACCCCATTGCCCCCCCCACCCATTGGACCCCTCCCTCAACCCCATTGCCCCCCCCACCCACTGGACCCCCCATCAACCCCATTGCCCCCCCACCCATTGGACCCCCCCAACCCCATTGGGACCCCCCAAACCCATTGGACCCCCCCCAACCCCATTGCCCCCCACACATTGGACCCCCCCCACCCATTGGACCCCCCCAACCCCATTGCCCCCCCCACCCATTGGACCCCCTCAACCCCATTGCCCCCCCACCCATCGGACACCCCCCCCAACCCCATTGCCCCCCACCCACTGGACCCCCCCCTCAACCCCATTGCCCCCCACCCATTGGACCGACCCCCTCAACCCCATTACCCCCCACCCATTGGACCCCCCCCAACCCCATTGCCCCCCACCCATTGGACCGACCCCCTCAACCCCATTACCCCCCAACCCATTGGACCCCCCCCAACCCCACTGCCCCCCACACATTGGACCCCCCCCCAACCCCATTGCCCCCCACCCATTGGACCCCCCCAACCCCATTGCCCCCCACCCATTGGACCCCCCCCCAACCCCATTGCCCCCCCCACCCATTCGACCCCCCCTCAACCCCATTGCCCCCCACCCATTGGACCCCCCCAACCCCATTGCCCCCCACCCATTGCCACCCCCCCCTCAACCCCATTGCCCCCCAACCATTGGACCCCCCCAACCCCATTGGGACCCCCCAAACCCATTGGACCCCCCCCAACCCCACTGCCCCCCACACATTGGACCCCCCCACATTGGACCCCCCCCCCAACCCCATTGCCCCCCACCCCCCCCCCCAACCCCATTGCCCCCCACCCATTGGACCCCCCCCCCCAACCCCATTACCCCCCACCCATTGAATCCCCCCCCAACCCCATTGCCCCCCCCACCCATCGGACCCCCCCCTCAACCCCATTGCCCCCCCCACCTATTGGACCCCCCAAACCCATTGGACCCCCCCAACCCCATTGCCCCCCACACATTGGACCCCCCCCACCCATTGGACCCCCCCTCAACCCCATTGCCCCCCACCCATTGAACCCCCCCCATCAACCCCATTGCCCCCCACCCATTGGACCCCCCCCCTCAACCCCATTGCCCCCCCCACCCATTGGACCCCCCCAACCCCATTGGGACCCCCCAAACCCATTGGACCCCCCCCAACCCCATTGCCCCCCACCCATCGGACCCCCCCCCAACCCCATTGCCCCCCACCCATTGGACCCCCCCAACCCCATTGCCCCCCACCCATTGCCACCCCCCCTCAACCCCATTGCCCCCCAACCATTGGACCCCCCCAACCCCATTGGGACCCCCCAAACCCATTGGACCCCCCCCAACCCCATTGCCCCCCACCCATTGGACCCCCCCCACCCATTGGACCCCCCCCAACCCCATTGCCCCCCCCACCCATTGGACCCCCCCCCAACCCCATTACCCCCCACCCATTGGACCCCCCCTCAACCCCATTGCCCCCCCCACCCATTGGACCCCCCCCAACCCCATTGCCCCCCAAGTCTAGGACCTGTCGAGCAGGGGCTGGAGCTGCTGCAGGCGCTCGGGGGGGCTGAGCTGGGCGCGGGCCAGGGCCCCCCCCGGGGGGGGCGGGTTGGGGGTCAGGGTGCAGGCCCCCAACACCTCGGTGCCGTAGATGGGGCCGAGGCCGCAGCGGAGCTCGTTGAGGCGCAGCAGCCGCTCCAGGCGCTCCGAGCGGCCCCGGCTCCGTTTGGCCTCCAAGGATTCCTATGGGGTGGGCAATGGGGGTCAGAGCGATCAAGGGGGCAAGGGAAGGCAATGGGGGTCAATGGGGGGCAATGGGGGGCAATCGGAGTCAGTGGGGGTCAATGGGAGCCAATGGGGGTCAATGGGGGTCAATGGGAGTCAGTAGGGGTCAATGGGAGTCAGTGGGGGTCAATGGGAATCAATGAGGTTCAATGGGTGTCAATGGGACCAATGGGGATCAATGGGTCAATGGGGGTCAATGGGAGTCAATGAAGGTCAATGGGAGTTAATGAAGGTCAATGGGAGTCAATGAGGTTCAACGGGTGTCAATGGGACCAACGGGGATAAATGGGTCAATGGGAGTCAATGAGGGTCAATGGGAATCAGTGGGGGACAACAGAAGTCAATGGGGGTCAATGGGAGTCAATGAGGGTCAATGGAAGTCAGTAGGGGTCAATGGGAGCCAGTGGGGGTCAATGGGAGTCAATGAGGTTCAACGGGTGTCAATGGGACCAACGAGGATCAATGGGTCAATGGGGGTCAATGGGAATCAATGAGGGTCAATGGGGGTCAATGGGGGACAACGGAAGTCAATAGGGGTCAATGGGAGTCAACGAGGGTCAATGGGAGTCAGTGAAGGGCAATGGAAGTCAATGGGGGTCAATGGGACCAATGGGGATCAATGGGTCAATGGGGGTCAATGGGAGTCAGTGAGGGTAAATGGGGGTCAATGGGGGACAACGGAAGTCAATGGGGGTCAATGGAAGTCAATGGGGGTGAATGGGGTCAATGGGAGTCAATGAGGTTCAACGGGTGTCAATGGGACCAATGGGGATCAATGGGTCAATGGGGGTCAATGGGGGGCAATGGGGGACAATGGAAGTCAATGGGGGTCAATGGGGGTCAATGGGGGGCAATGGGGGACAATGGAAGTCAATGGGGGTCAATGGGGGTCAATGAGGGTCAATGGGAGTCAATGAGGGTCAATGGGGAGCAATGGGGGTCAATAGGAGTCAATGGGGGACAACGGAAGTCAATGGGGGTCAATGGGGGTCAGCAGGGGTCAATGGGAGTCAATGGGAGTCAATGGGGCTCAATGGGGCTCAGTGGGGATCAATGGGGGAGAACGCACCCCATTGGCTGCCATACCCCCCCCCCCCATAGCATCCCTGGTACCCAACCCCCTCCCTCTCCCCACCCATTCCCTTGGCCCCATGGATTCCAATGGGAATGGGTGCCCCCCCCACCCCCACCCATGGGGGCCCCCCTCCCCCCCCCCATCCCCCCCCCCCCCATTACTCACCAGGTAAAAGGGCGACCGTGGTGGGGGTGGGGGCTGCCTCCTTGGGGGGGGTCGGGGTGGGGGAGGGGGGGTGGGTGCTGGGGGGGGTGGGGGGGGAGGGGCTTGGGGGGGTGGGGGGCTGGGGGCCATCGGCCCCTCGGGCTCCTCGCGCTGGGGGGGGGGAGGGGGTTGGGCTGGGGGGGGAGGGGCGGCGACGGGGACGATGGGGGGAGGGGCTGGGGGGGGGGGAGGGGGGAGAGAGAGAGAGAAAAAGGGGGGTCAATGGGGGGTCGTCAATGGGGGGAGGGGGGGCACCTATGGGTGCTGGGGGGCACCCATAGGGGTTAGGGGCACCCATAGGGGCTGGGGGAACACATAGGGGCTAAAGGGGGGCACCCATAGGGGTTCAAGGGGGGCACCCATAGGGGTTCAAGGGGAGCACCCATACGGGTTCAAGGGGAGCACCCATAGGGGTTCAAGGGGGCACCCATAGGGGTTCAAGGGGAGCACCCATAGGGGTTCAAGGGGGGCACCCATAGGGGTTCAAGGGGGGCACCCATAGGGGTTCAAGGGAGCACCCATAGGGGTCAGGGGCACCCATAGGGGTTCAAGGGGAGCACCCATAGGGGTTCAAGGGGGGCACCCATAGGAGTTCAAGGAGCCACCCATAGGGGTTCAAGGGGGGCACCCATAGGGGTTCAAGGGAGCACCCATAGGGGTCAGGGGCACCCATAGGGATTCAAGGGGAGCACCCATAGGGGTTCAAGGGGAGCACCCATAGGGGTCAGGGGCACCCATAGGGTTTCAAGGGGAGCACCCATAGGGGGTCAAGGGGAGCACCCATAGGGGTCAGGGGCACCCATAGGGTTTCAAGGGGGGCACCCATAGGGGTTCATGGGGGCACCCATAGGGGTTGGGGGCACCCATAGGGGTTCAAGGGGGCACCCATAGGGTTTCAAGGGGAGCACCCATAGGGGTTCAAGGGGAGCACCCATAGGGGTTCAAGGGGAGCACCCATAGGGGTTCAAGGGGGCACCCATAGGGGTTCAAGGGGAGCACCCATGGGTGCTGGCACTCACCCACGAGCTCGGTCCCGGCGGGCAGCACCCGGAGCAGGGGCCGGGGGGGTGGGGCAGGGGGTGGGGGAGGGGCGCTGAGGCCGTCGCGGGGGGGGGGCGGGGGTGGGGCAGGGGTGGGGGCGGGGCGCACCACGATCTTCACCACCCCCCCGCTGTTCACCAACGGCGCCGGCACTGGGGGGGGGGAGAGGGGGAGGGGAGAGAGATAGAGTGAGCAACCAATGGGGGGCAATGGGAGTCAATGGGGGTCAACGGCGGTCAATGGGGGTCAATGGGAGTCAATGGGGGTCAATGGGGGTCAATGGGAGTCGATGGGAGTCAATGAAAGTCAATGGGGGTCAATGGGAGTCAATGGGGGCAATGGGGGTCAATGGGAGTCAATAGGGGCCAATGGGGATCAATGGGAGTCAATGGGGGTCAATGGGAGGCAATGGGGGCCAATGGGAGTCAATAGGGGGAAATGGGAGTCAATGGGAGTCAATGGGGGTCAATGGGAGGCAATGGGAGTCAATGGGGGCAATGGGGGTCAATGGGAGTCAATGGGGGGCAATGGGAGTCAATGGGAGTCAATAGGGGCCAATGGGGATCAATGGGAGTCAATGGGGGTCAATGGGAGTCAATGGGGGCCAATGGGAGTCAATAGGGGGAAATGGGAGTCAATGGGAGTCAATGGGGGTCAATGGGAGTCAATGGGAGTCAATGGGAGTCGGGGGTCAATGGGAGTCAATGGGAGTCAATGGGGGCAATGGGGGGCAATGGGAGTCAATGGGGGGTAATGGGGATCAATGGGAGTCAATGGGGGTCAATGGGGGTCAATGGGAGGCAATAGGTGTCAATGGGAGTCAATGGGGGTCAATGGGAGTCAATGGGAGTCAATAGGAGCCAATGGGAGTCAATGGGGGGGAAATGGGAGTCAATGGGAGTCAATGGGGGCCAATGGGAGTCAATGGGGGGCAATGGGGGTCAATGGGAGTCAATGGGGGTCAATGGGGGTCGATGGGAGTCAATGGGGGTCAATGGGAGTCAATGGGGGCAATGGGGGTCGATGGGAGTCAATGGGAGTCAATGGGGGTCAATGGGGGTCGATGGGAGTCAATGGGGGCCAATGGGAGTCAATGGGAGTCAATGGGGGTCAATGAAAGTCAATAGGAGTCAATGGGGGTCAATGGGAGTCAATGGGAGTCAATGGGGGTCAATGGGAGTCAATGGGGGCAATGGGAGTCAATGGGAGCCAATGGGAGTCAATAGGGGGCAATGGGAGTCAATGGGGTCAATGGGAGGCAATGGGAGTCAATGGGGGTCAATGGGGGTCGATGGGAGTCAATGGGGGTCAATGACAGTCAATAGGAGTCAATGGGAGTCAATGGGAGTCAATGGGGGTCAATGAAAGTCAATAGGAGTCAATGGGAGTCAATGGGGGTCAATGGGGGTCAATGGGAGTCAATGGAGTCAATGGGAGTTGGGGGTCAATGGGAGTCAATGGGAGTCAATGGGGGTCAATGGGGGTCAATGGGGGTCAATGGGGGTCACTGAGGTCAATGAGGGTCGATGGGGGTCGATGGGAGTCAATGGGAGTCAATGGGGGTCAACTGGGGTCAATGGGAGTCAATGGGGTAATGGGGGTCAATGGGAGTCAATGGGGGTCAATGGGAGTCAATGGGAGTCAATGGGGGCCAATGGGAGTCAATGGGGGTCAATGGGAGTCAATGGGGGTCAATGGGGGTCAATGAGAGTCAATGGGGGGCAATGGGAGTCAATGGGGGTCAATGAGAGTCAATGGGGGGCAATGGGAGTCAATGGGAGTCAATGGGAGTCAATGGGAGTCAATGGGGGTCAATGGGAGTCAATGGGGATCAATGGGGGTCAATGGGAGTCAATGGGGGCAAAGGGAGTCAATGGGAGTCGGGAGTCAATGGGAGTCAATGGGAGTCAATGGGGGTCAATGGGGGTCAATGGGAGTCAATGGGGGTAATGGGGGTCAATGAGAGTCAATGGGGCTCCATGGAAGTCAATGGGGGGGCAACTCGCACCCACTGGGAGTCAACGAGGGACAATAGGGGGTCAATGGATGCTCAGTGGGGGTCAATGGGGGGACAATGGGGGGCAATGGGGGTTAAAGGGTGTCAATGGGGGTCAATGGGAGTCAATGGGGGTCAACGGGAGTCAATGGGGATCAATGGGGCTCAATGGGAGGTCAATGGGGCTCAATGGGGTTCAATGGGGCTCAATGGGGGGGGGGGGCTCCTTACCTTGCGCGGTGGCGATGGGGAGCCCCAGGGTGGGGGGGCCCTGGGGGGGGTTCCCGGGGGGGGCCCCCCCGCTGGGGGGCGGGGGAGGGGCGACGGGCGCCAGGAGCGTGACCTGGGCGGGGGGGCCCAGGAGGGGGCTCTGCCCCCCAGCGGCCACCAGGTGAACCACGTTACCTATGGGGGGGGGACACAAAAAGGGGGGGTCAGGGGCACCCCAAAACCACCCCAAAATACCCCCAAAACGCCCCAAAACCACCCAAAAATACCCCCAAAAAACACCAAACCACCCAAAAATAGCCTAAAATAACCCAAAACACCCCAAAATACACCAAAAAACAAGAACACCCCAAAATACCCCCAAAAGTCCCTAAAAAACACCAAAACCACCCCAAAATAGCCTAAAATAACCCAAAACAATTCAAAATACACCAAAATACACCAAAAAACAACCAAAATAACCCAAACCACCCCAAAATACACCAAAACACCCCAAAAATACACCAAAACACCCCAAAATACCCAAAAAACCACCAAAACCACCCCAAAATTGCATAAAATAACCCAAAACATCTCAAAAAAATACCAAAACACACCTAAAAACACCAAAATAACCCAAAACACCCCAAAATATACCAAAACACCCCCAAATACCCCAAAAATACCCTAACAAAACACCAAAACCACCCCAAAATAGCCTAAAATAACCCAAAACACCTCAAAATACACCAAAATACACCAAAACCACACCAAGATACACCAAAACACCCCAAAATAACCCAGAACACCCCAAAATACACCAAAATACACAAAAAAAAAACAAAACCAGCCCAAAATACACCAAAACACCCCAAAATACACCAAAAAACACCAAAAAACAACAAAAACACACCAAAACACACCAAAATAACCCAAAGTACCCTAAACAACACCAAAACCACCCCAAAATACGCTAAAGTAACCCAAAACACCCCAAAATACACCAAAAATACCCTAAAAAATACATTCACCCCCATTCATCCCAATGGGTTCCCCCATTCAACCCAAGCCCCCCCATGGACGATCCCATTCCAAAGCAGGGGGGGGGGTCCATCCCCATTCATCCCAATGGGTTCCCCCATTCAACCCAAGGCCCCCCAATGGACAATCCCATTCCAAAGTGGGGGGGGGGATCATCCCCATTCAACCCAAGCCCCCCCCAATGGACGATCCCATTCTAATGTGGGGGGATCCATCCCCATTCATCCCAATGGGTTCCCCCATTCAACCCAAGCCCCGCCCTCATGGACGATCCCATTCCAAAACGGGGGGGGGGGGGAACATCCCCATTCATCCCAATGGCTTCCCCCATTCAACCCAAGCCCCCCCCATGGACGATCCCATTCCAAAGGGGGGAGGGGGGGTCCATCCCCATTCATCCCAATGGGCTGCCCCATTCAACCCAAGCGCCCCCCATGGACGATCCCATTCCAAAGTGGGGGGGGTCCATCCCCATTCAACCCAATGGGTTCCCCCATTCAAACCAAGCCCCCCCCCATGGACGATCCCATTCCAAAAGGGGGGGGGGGGGGGAATCACCCCCATACATCCCAATGGGTTCCCCCATTCAACCCAAGCCCCCCCCATGGACGATCCCATTCCAAAGTGGGGGGGGTCCATCCCCATTCATCCCAATGGGTTCCCCCATTCAACCCAAGCCCCCCCATGGACAATCCCATTCCAAAGTGGGGGGGGGGAATCATCCCCATTCAACCCAAGCCCCCCCCATGGACGATCCCATTCCAAAGTGGGGGGGGGGGGGAATCATCCCCATTCAACCGAAGCCCCCCCCCATGGATGATCCCATTCCAAAAGGGGGGGATCCATCCCCATTCATCCCAATGGGTTCCCCCATTCAACCCAAGCCCCCCCCATAGGACGACCCCATTCCAAAGTGGGTGTGTGGGGGGGATGTCCACCCCCATAGACTCACGTGGGAGGCCGCGGGGGGGGGCGGCCAGCGCCAAGTGTCGCAGTGGGGGGGCCGCCAGGGTCAATTTGCTGCCTTGGAGCTGGAGGGTGAGGGGCTTGGCCCCCCCACCCCCACCCCCTCCTCCTGGGGTGCCCCCACCCCCACCCCCGGGGGTGACCCCCCCGGGGCGCTGGGCCAGGGCTGCCAATTGGCCAATGCTCACCAGCTCGCCCGCTGTGGGGTGGGGGGGGGGACACACACGACATAAAGGGGGTTAATGGGGGGTGGGGGGCACTTTAAGAGATGGGGGGAGGTATAATGGGGGGTATGGGGGTGTCAATGGGGGAGTCAATGGGGTCTATGGGGGGGTTAATGGGGTCTATGGGGGGTAATGGGGTCTATGGGGGGGTAATGGGGTCTATGGGGGGGTCAATAGGGTCTACAGGGTGTGATATGGGGGGGTGAATGGGGTCTATGGGGGGTAATGGGGTCGATGGGGGTGAATGGGGTCTATGGGGGGATTAATGGGGGATATGGGGGGTGAATGGGGTCTACAGGGGGGGTAATGGGGTCCATGGTGGGTTAATAGGGGATATGGGGGGGTCAATGGGGTCTATGGGGGGGTGAATGGGGTCTATGGGGGGTGAATGGGGTGTATAAGGGGGAATGGGGTCTAAGGGGGGGGTGAATGTGGGATATGGGGGGTGAATGGGGTCTATGGGGGGATTAATGGGGGATATGGGGGGTGAATGGGGTCTACAGGGGGGGTAATGGGGTCCATGGGGGGTTAATAGGGGATATGGGGGGGTCAATGGGGTCTATGGGGGGTGAATGGGGCCTATGGTGGGTACAATGGGGTGCATAGGGGGGTTAACAGGGGATATGGGGTGTGAATGGGGTCTACGAGGGGGGGTAATGGGGTCCATGGGGAGTTAATA